TGTTCACATATAAACATATCTACATCAAAGAGAAAAAAAATCAAAAGATGGATTTCTGTTTTGGTGAGAAAGTGTAGGCTATAGCAAACGACCAGTCCAGTGGTGATTATATAAGATTGTTTAAAAGAACAGTTCAATTTCATCGCTGCACCGTTTGGGCAGAAATCTCATGCAACACAAGAGAAGGGGATGTCTTTTCGTGCCTAAACGAATGATCATCAGTACATTCAGTAAATGTCCTGGCTTGTAACTACGGTCGAGTGCATATAAAACTGTAAGCAATCTAGATTCTGCAACTTAACATTGCGTAGTACCATCATATGGAGGAATCTTTGGTTCTAGTCTACCAATCCTGAATTTCATTTCCTTTAGTTGCAGGTGTCCAATAATAAAAAAGATAGGAATGAAGAAATCTGAAAACAACATGCAGTGAACGACGTAGATGAAGAATGATTATTAATTCAACCAGCCAACCTAATTAAATATCTTTGACTTGCACATCAAACTAAAATGTTCAAGGATTCTAGACTTACCTGGAAGCCAAATCCCAACTAAATCATTTTGAGGGATCAAGCAAGAACTACTTCTCCACAAGAAAAATCTAAAACCAGCAGCAGCTTGCAATTGATGCAAGATTAACCTGGTGCAAATCACTCAAATATGTAATGATCGTGGAATTGGAACCACATCTAATATAGTGGCTTAAAACTGAACCACACACACATAGAGAGAGATAGCTGTCCGTCTATGTTTTGGAGATTGAGTCCATGCCTGCATACTAGGAGAGGCAACCAATGCATGGACCAGTTTCCGCCAAACATGCAAGGACGAATAGCAAGTAAAATCCGTAGATATGAACTGTGAAGACATGGAGGAGAATTAGTGGGAGGAAGATGGATGGTCGGCGAGAATGAAACTAAGCAACAACCATGGCCGAGAGATGACGCGGAAGGCAGGAAGGAAGAGATAATGTAAGGCCTAATATATGAGGGAGAACCGAAAATTCGAATAACGCACCAATAGGGCAAATTAATCATCATCATCACCTCTGGAAATAATTACCATAATCACAAGAAGTACACAGCGGACCTTTAATGCGACAGTTTTCAGCTTCAGTTACAGAATGGGAAGGAATGTGTGGTACAGCTGCAAGGCATGGAGGCGGATGCAGGAGAAGGACAGCAGGCGATGGACGCCGGTGACGGGGGCGGGCTCCGCGCTGTCATGGAGGAGCGGTGCAAGACTGAAATTAAAAAAAAAACACTAACAAAGGGGCTTCGGAGGAAGGGTACATGCGGTGGACGACACCGACGGGGAGTCAGACACGCAGCAGGAACTTGCCGACGGCGGCAGCGCATCGCGGACGAGGCAGCGAATCGCCGAGGACGAAACGGCGGCGCATCGCGTAGGAAGGAGCAGAGGAGTTGTTCGGTTCGGGGATAGCGCTGGAACCCGGACGACCTAACTTATTAGCGTGTGAAACCTGGGCCTTGGACGGCCCATTAAGGAGCGACACTCAAGCTCGTTCTGCGGAGCAGCAGCCCGCGAGACGGTGCGTCGAGAGCGTGCGGACAACCTGGGACGCAGCTAGATGATCTGGATCATAGGTTTGAGGATCCGATGGCTGAGACAGTCAAATCGGTGTGGAGGCTTCTAGCTAGCCCCGTTATACTGTTTCTCAATGGTTACTTGAAAAAAACACGTTCGGCACTGCGTCCTTGCTGGGCGGGCGCATCAAGATTGTCCAGAGAGCCCAACGGCCCAGCTCCCACACGATCCGAGAGGAAAAAGGGTCGAGAGAACGAAAAAAAAAAGCACGAGACTCACGCAGCCTCCTCGACGCGCCGCCGCCGGCTCATCGACGCCGGTGTCCCTCCTCCGGCAAACTAACCGGTAATTCCGAGTCTCCCCCTCCCCTCCCCACCCCGTCCAGTAGGATAGAGTACGCACCGCCACCGCTGAGCCCCGCCACGGCCGCCGTCCTCGCCTTCTTGATTTGTTTGCTTTGACGGCGCGCTGGTGGTGATGCGCGGCCGCTCTGCTTTTGCCGCCTCTGATAGCTTCTCCTCTTATGGCTTAGGTAGCTTCTTCTTTCTCACGGCAGTGGTAGCGTTCTTGGCATCTGCTGATCTGAACCTAGTTCTTGGTTAAGCAGAGACGAGTAAGTATTTGGACAGTGTTAGCTCATACTACATGGCATCTTATCTTTATCAGTCAGAATTTCCCCAAACTTCTTCAGCTTTCTAGCCTAATAGTTCTATTCTGTCAACTGATGATAGACTCCGTATTTGTACATTACTTCGCACTGGTAATTTGTGAACTGAAAAGTGGACATACAATCAATTAAGCTTAGCTTCCCTTCGACTTTAGTTCTGCTAATTATTCAGTTTGATTAATTTAGCTTGAGGATTACATAACAATACCATTCTCGTTGACCATGGTTTATTCAGCATCTGAGACGGGTTTTCCATGGTTATTGAGCGCTGCTTATTAGGAGATTCGATATATATAAATAATAGCTTCTGCAAATACATGAGACAGAGCTACACTACCAACATACTGCTAACTGCTGCCCATTGTGTTTATTTGCCTTGTATCTGAAGTAGTCCTGCGGTAGCCTTATTTAATATCTAGTCTTTCTAAAGCTCACCACTAGAGCTATTTAAGCTGTAAAGATTGGATTTTTAATTCTAGTACTGCTATTTTGCACCATCTTATCTCAGAATAACAAATCCTGCCTACCAAACAAGTTCTTTTTGTAGAAAGGGGATTGAGGATGTGAGGGGTTTGGGGATGAGAGGGGGATTATGGGGATAGGGTGGAAGGGAGGGGATCACCAAATCCCCTAGGGGCTTGAAGACCCTTGCCAAATGAGACCTAAAGGTTGTAACTTGTAAGGGAACACGAGTAGCCTCCTTTAGGACCTTCGTTGGAGCAGCCACCCAGTCTCCCGTCTTTCCGTTGGAGGCGCTGCCCCTTTACCACCTTCTCCTCCGACAAGTACAACCCCACCTACGCCTTTCTCCACGAGGTACATCGTCTGAGGCTAAGATGATAAATCCTACCATTCGTTCCTGACTGTAAACATACTAGCAGGCAAAAGTGTGTTGTAATCTTGTTCAGAACTTCAGATCTGTACAGATGAGAATGGTGATTTATGTGCGGTGGTCGAGGGGATAGTTACTTAGATTCAAATTGATTACTAATTAGTATCATGGTCTCATCAGTTTCCATAGTTTCTAGAGTCTGCCACCAAAGGACCATATTGTAGGCAAGTGGTTCCCGATCCTGTGCGACCCATCCACGCCCTCAGATCTGGCTGCCACGCACCCTCCTCACCGCCCACAACACTCCAGCCGCTGTGACCTCCCCTCCTCGCTTACAGCACTCCTGCGGCCGTCCTCTCCTCGTCACCCCTCACCCCAGGTAGCTACTAGATTCCCGGAGTACCTCGGCACCGGTATGGGAATGAGGACCGAATAAGTGCAGCTTCTATACAGAATTAGCCATATCGAGTGCTTATTTTTGTATGGTTAATTCCATGGGTTCTGTTATATTACGAATCAGTGCCATGTGTCTGTCATTCTCTGTTCTTAGTTTTCCAGTGGATCTTTTTTTAGTTCCAATGGATCATCGTTATTTAGTCTCCATCTTTGTCCACTCTCGAAATTTTTGCACTGTGTGTAGTCTCCTATTTTAGGCTTCCCCAATCCTTTTTTACTAAGAAGTCTAATTAAGTAAGGCGGCCAATTATTTCACATGGATACCCAGACATGATTCTATTTGTTTACCATTCTATATAGTTTCAGAACATCATAAGGAAAATAGATATGAAGAGTGAAGCAGTCTTTGAATGCTGTTTCTCGTCTCAGCTAACACGGACCACATTTTTTATCATTTGAAGTTTTGAACTAAGTAAAGTGCATGCCAATTTAGTTCACTGGTATGTATGGTCTTGCTCATGAACCCCAAAGTCTGAAACTTGAAAATATTGAACTCTGAATCTTGTTTAATCTCTTCCGTTGTACAGTACTGATGTTGGGCTCTACTTAACTCCCAGGTTGATTTTGTTGAACTGTAAAGCTTGTTTTCCCTCTTCAGTTGTTACTTTCACAAATTTGTACTAGAGCTTTAGTCTATCTAGTATCTAATGCACAAACTTGTACTGGAGCTTATGTCAATTATTGCAGAAAATTTGTACAACAGCTGTAGCATATACATGCCAGGACACCGGAAGCACAAAGTCTGCATCTTCCTCCTATCTAGCCTTGACGCAAACAGGCTACACGATTAAAACAATAGTTTTGATCACAAAACATTTAAGTGGCAGCAACTTTAGATACAACACTAACATACTGTATCTAACACCTATTTTATGCTGTTGGACACAGTTTAAGATACGATGCACTGGAAGTGCCCTCAGTATAATAATCTGAGCATTCAGTGGCATGATTATTAAGATTGTCCTCATATTTCCATCATGGCCAATCTTTCCCGAAATATGTGTAGTATGATGCTGTGGTCCATTTTAGTAGCCATCAAGATTCAAGAACACTACAAGAAAACTAAATGGAGAATGGCTGAAGGATAAGCTTGCTAGAAAGTGATCCTTATAAAAGTAATTACTTACTAATTAGTGAACCTTGTGAGAATATGTGCTTCATAGTTTATTTTTGTTTAAACTTATTCAGAAATTTAATTTTGTAAAACTATGTTTGGATAGCTTATAATATTTTTTGTATGTATGCTCACTTGTGCTTAGCCATACCTCCTCCTTCCAAATCTGATATCTCTGTCGAAATAGGGCTTGCCCAGTAGCTTGTCCTCTTCTATCCCAAGCCTCAGTGCCAGCAGGCAGCAGCAGCAAGGAAGGTTAGAACTTAGAAGAGTTATCATTCCTTCTGATCCATATTCCTTCCGTATTTCTGTTTTTTCTTGTGGTTCTAGGAATGCGGCTATGTCTCACATGTAAATCCATTTCTTGGTTGGCAGTTAGAAGCATGAAGCCCGAAGAGAAGCCCAACCGGCCGCCATCACGGCTGGACTGCATAAAGTACTTCAATGCACTATGGTCCTGCTACTCGCCATTCCACCAGATGCAGAACTATTACCGCTACGGGGTTTTTGACAACTGCTCCAGCAAGTGGCGCGATCTCGTCGACTGTCTCATGCTCAAGACGAAGTCGAGGGCGGAGGTAGAGGAGATGCTCATGGCGCGGGAGAAGGCCAGGCCGCACTTCTGGACCTACCGGACTGTCGACGAGGCGTCAGCGAACTGGTGGAAGATGTACAAGCACAGGGTGATGATGTCATCACCGCCAAAGACTGCAGGTTCTGCTGCGCCTCCTCCCAAACCTGCTGCACCGAAGAAGCGTTGATTGTGCTTTTGGTGCGCTGTGCTTATAACCACCGGTCTTTGTTCAATCTTGAGTTACCGTGACAGGGTAAATAATTGGAACCCTGTATGGAAGGATACCCTAACCATGTTCTGTAAAGCATGGCAGGCAGCTGATCGGTGGTTCTTATGCTATTTTTTGCACCAGCTATGTTAGCTTTCTGCCTAATTATCAAGCATAAAAGTTTTGGTTTGTGCTGTGGTGTGTTCTCATTAATTTTTAATAAATGCAGACTAGCTAATTTCAGTTCACATGTGGTTAAGAATGGGTATAACATCGGATTGCCAGATTTGGTTTGCTTCTGTTTCTTGATGTTCTTTTTTGATATTTATGTCTGAGTGATTTCAGGCTGCAGACGCCTGGATTAGAATTGATGGAGACAACAGACCATGCTGCCACCACTGCCCTCGATGGTAAGCAAATCCATATGTGACAGTGTTGCTTTTGTTATCTGATGAAATACCACACCTGGTTCTGCAAGCAATTGTTCTGCAGCTTTGCGCACTTCCTCTGTCCTGTGCACTGTCAAGGAAAAATTTACTCTGTCTGCAGTATACCCTCTCATTCGAAGTTAGAGAAGAATTAGATTATCTCTTTGAACAAAGTTTTTCATATGTAAGTGACTATGCTATCCACTTTTGCGTTTTTCACATGCAAGTGACTCGTTTTGACACTTTAATTGAAGTATTCGCCTAGATTGTACAATCCACTCCAGTAGAGTTATGATATTTGTACATTTCGGATCGTAATAAACAAGCTATACACATTCTTATTCATCCCTTCGCCGTTTTCTCGTCAATATAGTTGTTTTTCCGGTGTGGCGAATTCATCTAACTAGTGTGCCTGGCTAATGCCGTACCGCCGATCCCGTGACCGGAAGCATCATCAGTTCCAGGGCCGTCGACCTTGAACCAGGGACACCGGAGCGCGGCGGCCGCTGTCAGCCTCTTGCTGGGGTTGCAGGTAAGGAGGCCCTTCAAGACATGGAATCCGTGCCACGACAGCAGTTCCTCGGGGAACAGCTCTCGTAACCGGTCATGGCGCCGCCGCACTTCTCGCTGTCGAGCCCGCCATTGCCGCACCTCATCAGCTCGGAGCGCGGACTCCAAGTGCTGCCATGTTTTCCTGCCCGGCGCACCGAGCACATCGAGTATCTTGCCGACCTGGCCCGTCGTCTTTTCCCCGCTGAACAACTCCTCGCCGGAGAGCATCTCTGCCATGACGCACCCGAGCGACCACATGTCTACGGCCGCGTCGTACTCCGGCTTCTCCAGCAGCATCTCTGGCGCCATGTAGGGGACCGTCCCGGCCAGCCCGTACGGCGGCTCTGCCTTGGCCGTGGGCATTGCCAGCCCGTAGTCGCAGAATTTCACGACGCCACCGTCTTCTCCGATGAGGATGTTTGCAGTCTTCATGTCCCTGTGAATGATGCCGCGCTCGTGCATCGCCGCGGCGCCCGTGAGCAGCTGCCGCATGACCCGGCGCACGTCGGCCTCCGGGAACGCGCGGCCGTGCTCTTCCACGTGCCTGTCCAGAGCATGGAACAGGCTGGGCCCGACGTAGTCCATGACGAGGCAGTACTGCTTGGTGCCTGGGTCGCGCACGATGGCATGGAGGCCGACGAGGTTGGGGTGCCCGCGGCACGCCGCTAGGACACAGGCCTCCTTGAGCAGGTCGCCGACGTTGGGGCGCCTCGCGCCGCCGCGCGCGTGGATGGTCTTGAGGGCGACCGTCTGGCCGGTGTTGCGGTGCTGCGCCATGACGACGCGGCCGCTGGAGCCCTTGCCGAGCCTGCGCATCTGCTTGTAGCAGCGGGTGCTGCCGATGCCGGCGTCGCGCTCGCGCCGCCTTCTCCCTTTCTCGCTATGCAAGCCCTTTGCGTCGTCGTTGCAGGCATCGTTGATCATGGCGCATATTGCCTCGACCTGCTTGCCGCTCATTGTCCCCGCGGCGGTGTGGTCGTCGATCATGGCGAATATGTCGGCTACTCGCGCGGCCGTCATGGTCGTCGTGCCGGCGGCGCTGGCGGAGGGAAGCGTCGGCGCGAGCTGTGCTTCTGCCAACCGTAACCGAATCCACAGGTTCTTGAAGATCACCAGTATTCCCAGTGATATTTCGACGAAGATCCATAGAATCCTGCAGGTTCGAAAGGAACGAATCCCGCGGGCTGGACACGCCTTGCCGGCGTGCTCGTCGCCGGTCATGGTGCAACCGGCGCCAGCTCCCGTAAGCGAGACTACGTGAGAAGGAAGGTATGGGCGAGGTTCAAGTATACGAGGAGAGGGTCGTGCCGGGCAAGTATAAGCCGTCCCGTCCGGTGCCGTACGTCGGTACGTGCGCGCGCAGAGCGAGGTTCGAATATTGCTCGGCTATGAAGCCGTCGATCATGGCTACTATAGCTTACAAGAAACCATCAAACCCATACATTAAACTTTGAAGATGCGCCCGATATTTTGCCTAACCTAAAACGCACGTCAGACGTAATCGGAGCTACACGCCTCTCCGGCCGGAGTCCGACTTGGTGAGGCTCCGAAGCCTCCCCAAGATCCTGACCTTGCTCTCCCACCCGCCGAACCCCTTCCTGCCTTTCTTCGTCGGCGACTCGTCGGAGAGCTCCGCCGCCGAGTCCTCCCACTGGAGATCGTCGGCCGCGTTCACCCTGGCCTTCAGCTCCGCCGCCAGCTCCGTCACCGCCGTCTCCGGCTCGTCTCTGTTCCTCAGCAGCACTTCGCCCACCTCAGCCGGCGTCATCTCCGCGCCGTCCCGTATGCAGCCCTCCGCCGCGTCCAGCATGTCCTGGTCGCCGACGCTGGCCCCGACGTACCGCTCCACCAGCTCGCGCATGGCGTGCGCGCCGCACGGGCCCAGGCGCACGTGCACGTCCATCCTCCCCGGCCGCAGCAGCGCCGGGTCGATGCCGTCCACGTGGTTGGTCGTGAACACGATGATGCGCTCCTCGCCGCAGCACGACCACAGGCCGTCGGTGAAGTTGAGCAGCCCGGAGAGGGTTACCTTCCCCCGGTGGTTGTCGGCGCCGGTGACGTCGTCGTCCGAGTCGGACGAGTCATCGGAGGCGGCCGCGCGGCGTCTCTTGTGCCGCCTCATGGAGGCCAGCCCGCGGTCGCCGGTGAGGTGGAGGGAGCAGTCGATGTCCTCGATGACAATGAGCGAACGGTTGGTCGTCTGGATGAGGAGCGCGCGGAGGTCGACGTTGGTGGTGACGCGGGTGAGCTCGAGGTCGAACACGTCGTACCGGAGGTGGTTCGCCATGGCGGCGATCAGCGAAGACTTGCCGGAGCCAGGCGGGCCGTGGAGGAGGTACCCGCGCTTCCACGGCCTCCCAGTCCGGCGGTAGAACTCCCTCCCGTCGGCGAACGCCGTGAGGTCGGCCAGGAGGCGCGCCTTGAGGTCCGGGTCCAGCGCGAGCGTCTCGAACGTGGACGGGTGGCAGAACGGCACCGACGACCACGACGCCGAGCCACGCGGAAACGCGGCGTTCGTGTGCAGCCTCCTCGCCCGCGACGAGCGCTCCAGGCTGTCCGCCGCGGCCGCGAGGTGCGCCAGGTACGCCGGGAGCACCGCCGCGGCGTGCCTTTTGGGGAGGCGCAGCGAGAAGGACCGGCGCTCCTCGAGCGAGTCCTGGAGCGTGTCGGCATGGTGCGTCCACACGGCGCGGTGGCCGTTGAAGGCGTCGGGCACCGAGTGGTTCGGGGACAGCGACACGGACGGTGGCACTGCGGCCGCGCCGGCATTGCCCGCGACGGAGCGCGGCAGCGAGAGCGTGAGGCGGGGAGGCGAAGGGGAGGAGAGGAGCAGGGAGCGGTGAAGGTAGAGCTGGACGTGGCGGTAGAGCGCGTTGGGCTCGACGGCGGCGGAGCCGAGGAACTCCGGCACGTCGAAGTAGGAGTAGGGCGTGAGCGAGTCCTGGAGCGACTGCCAGAGCGAGTGCAGGAGGGAGAGGAGCTGCGTGGGGAGGACGTTCTGCAGGATGGTGAGGAGGCCCAGGAGCGACCACATCTGCGACAAGAACTCCATTACTGTGGAAATGGAGCTTTCAAGCTCAGCTTTGCTGCTGCTGCTCTGCTCAGTTGCTTGATGCTGCCACCTTGGGTTTTGGGATAACAGCGTAGTGTCACTAGGGTTTTGGATTATCTTGCAGTTGTATGAAGACAGGTGAAGGGAGCGTCAGTTATAAAGAGAGGGGGGAGGGTCAGAGGAGGAGGATGGAAAGGATCAAAAGGAGGTGTGCACTGTTGCAAATACTGTTTGTTTTTTTAGCCTGAATGACAGCATGTATGCATGCACCAAGAGGACGGGGCGTCGACCCGTAACTCGGTAGCTGAGGTTGCTGCCATCTCACCCAAGTTCAAATCACGCCTTGAATGTGTGGTGCTCGTGGAGTTTCTCCTATAAAAAATGCCAACAAGAATTAGCCCTTGGGTTAGTCTCGTTTTTTTTATGCATGCACCAAAAGATAGATAGGATAGGTAAGAAAACTATTTGACAACCACCATAGTGCTAATCATAACACTTGTCACTAAAATTGTGTTGAAATGTGCTTTATAAAGGTCTTTTTTAAGGCAGTCTAATTACACTTTAGATATATGTATGTCACCTGGTTTTTAAATTTGGATAAGTCACTTTTCTGACCGTTGAATATTTTCAAGATTTGTGCTATTGTTTTGTGTTGTTTCATGGCTTTCTTATGCCAATATTTGGCTTGCCCCTGGTTGGGTAAGTCAATTATTTCGTAAGCTGGATTTTTAACTTATCGCTGTTTGGGGTGATTTTTCTTATAGACTGAATTTTTGACTTGCGCTTGTTTGGGGTAAGTCGATTTTCCTATTGGGCTTGAAGCCTGTTACACATTGCGTGTTTTTTTTGTTTGTATGCGTTTTTGCTATTGGTTTTCTTTATATGTTTTACCATTTTTTGCATCACTTTATTAGCTATGCAAATCGCCTAAAATTTGATTTTTGGCCAATTGCATTTTTGGTCGTTGACTTTTGCTTTAAGCTTTGTGCTTCTTTTTTTTTTCTGCTCTGCTTTGTGAGTTGTTTTGGGCTAGTTTTTTTCCAACTGGCCACATATTTGGGCCAGTCAATTCCTTAACGGGTTAAAGCCATTAACCGTGCGACCCAGCCTCCCCTCCCACCCTTTTGTTCTTTTCTGTTTCTCTATTTTCGTTTGTTTACGCTTTCCTTCTTCTTTATTAGATAGTTTTTCTTTGTCTTTTGTGGGTATTTTTTGTTGTTGAGTGAGTGTAAATACACACACACATATACTATAAAATATATGCAAAAATTGCTATAATATGAGTATTCTTTGCATGATGTTA